CTTCTGCTCTCTATTTTCTCTCAAAATGTCTGAAATAGTTATTATTATTATTATTACATGGAGTTTATATAACGCCAAAGGGTTTGCTCAGCGCTGTACAATAGGGGGGACAATACATGGCACAGTACAAAAACAGACAGCGTACGAGGGGTAAGACGGCCCTACTCTTTCAAGCTTACAATCTAGGAGGGAGGGGGTAGTGGAACAATAGGAAGTGGCTGAGGGGGATGAAGTGGCTGAGGGGGATGAAGTGGCTGAGGGGGATGAAGTGGCTGAGGGGGATGAAGTGGTGGGAGGAATGAGGGAGGATGGCCATTAGGTGAGGGTGGGGTAGGCTTCCCTGAAGAGATGGGTTTTTGAGGGAGCGCCTGAATGTGGGGAGGGAAGGCGACAGTCGGATGGATTGGGGCAGTGAGTTCCAGAGGATAGGGGAGGACCTGGAGAAGTCCTGCAGTCGTGCATGGGAGGAGGAGACCAGGGAGCAGGATAGAAGGAGGTCCTGTGAGGAGCGAAGGGTACGGGTAGGGTGGTACTTGGGGATCAGGTTGGTGAGGTAGTCAGGGGCAGTGTTATGAACAGCTTTGTAGGTCAGGATTAGAAGTTTAAATTTGATGCGTTGGACAATCGGGAGCCAGTGGAGGGAGAGGCAGAGGGGGGTGGCAGAGGTGGAGCGGGTGGTGAGGTGCATGAGTCTGGCCGCTGAGTTCAGGATGGTCTGGAGCGGGGAGAGCCTGCACTTGGGTAGTTAATTTTTAGTTAATTTTAGTTAATTTTTTACTGTTTTTCAGTGCATTTTGGGCATTTTGAAAGGTCTCCTGAGGTTCTTAAAAAAAAAAAAAAACGCGCATAAACGCAAACGCGCATAAACGCGGTATGCAAACGTGGCTAAACAGACGTTTTTTTTAACCTACATTTTCCAAACGTCCCGTGTACATGAGCCCTTAAAGTAACACACAACCTTGTCACCCCCACCTCTACTTTGCTATATGGTGTATATGAATATTTCAAATTCTTCACCGCTGATAAAAAGGGAACAGAGAAGGTCATGGGGGATACTGGAGAACAATAAGCTCATCAGCACCACTGCTATGCTGGAGCTACCAAAGTAAATCAATTCTTGCAATGTATGTAAGGAACATATGTTCCTAGTATAGTGTTACCCCTCTGTAAGGCCATATTAGGGATACGGGGTCTACACCGTGTTCCAAATTATTATGCAAATGATATTTTTCTCATTTCCCTCAATAATTGATGTAAATAACAGTCGGCAGAATTCTCAGGTTACAACTATAAGAGTACAATTCACATTTTATTCCGCACAGTAAGTTTCAAAACACTTTCTAGGTTGTAAAGAACTGAAAATTGTCATTTGTTGCGTTTGCAGCAGATTTACTGAAATCAAAAGCTATTTCAATCAAACTTTTAACAACATTGTAACTTTGTAAACATTTGAATCGGTCACGTTACATTGTAACATAGGAGCCCTTATCTGATAGCAGATCACAAGTCTTGCATCCATTGAACTTGGGAGTTTTTGGACAGTTTTTCTTCTTGAATTTGTTTGAAAGATGTCAGAATAGCCTCCCAGAGCTGCTGTTTGGATGTAAACTGCCTCCCACCCTCATAGATCTTTTGCTTGAGGATGCTCCAAAGGTTCTCAATAGGATTGAGGTCAGGGGAGGATGGAGGTCGCACCATGACTTTCTCTCCTTTTATCCCCATAGCAGCCATTGATGCAGAGGTATTCTTTGCAGCATGAGATGGTGCATTGTCATGCATGAAGAGGATTTTATTACGGAAAGCATAGTTCTTCCTTCTGTACCAGGGAAGAAAGTGGTCAGTCATAAACTCCACATACTTTGCAGAGGGCATCTTTACACCTTCGGGGACCCTAAAGGGGCCGACCAGCTCTGTTCCCATGATTCCAGCCCAAAACATGACTCCACCACCGCCTTGCTGACGTCGCAGCCTTGTTGGAACAGGGTGGCCATCCACCAACCATCCACTACTCTATCCATCTGGACCATCCAGGGTTGCACGGCACTCATCCATGAACAGGACTGTTTGAAAATTAGTCTTCATATATTTTTCTGCCCAATGCAGCCGTTTCTGCTTTTGAGCATTGGTTAGTGGTGGTCGAATAGAAGGTTTATGCACAGTTGCAAGACTCTGGAGGACTCTACACCTTGATGTCCGTGGGACTCCAGAGGCACCAGCAGCTTCAAATATCTGTTTGCTGCTATGTAATGGGATTTTAGCAGCTGCTCTCTTGATCCGATGCATGGATCTGGCAGAAATCTTCCTCAATGTGCCTTTATCTGCACCAACCCGTCTGTGCTCTGAATCAGCCACAAATCTCAAAATAGTGCGATGATCACGCTTAAGTTTTCATGAAATATCGAATGTTTTCATACCTCGTCCAAGGCATCTAACTATTTCACTCTTTTCAGCAGCAGAGAGATCCTTTTTCTTCCCCATATTGCTTGAAAATGGTGTTCTGCTTAATAATGTGGAACGCCCTCCTTTAGTAGTTTTTCCTGAAATTGGGCTCACCGGCCAATCTAATTATCACAGGTGTCCGAGATTGTTTTCAGTGATCAAAAGAGCCCTGACACACAATGCCATCCATGAGTTACACTGAAAAACAAAATATTTCATCTTTGTGACACTTAAATAGAATTTGCAGAATAATTTGGAACACGGTGTAGTTTTGGTCCCCACATTGTGAAGATTTAAAACAACTGGGATAATAAGTCTTAGAGATCACTTCAACTCCCTCCAAGGCCAGCATAAAGATTTGGCATGTTGACGTTCTATCCCAAGTGTTGTACATAGGACAAGGTTAAGGCATGTATTGCCAGCACATCAAGGGTCTTTGAAAAAACAAAGTTGGGCAGCACAGTGGCTAAGTGGTTAGTACTGCTTGCCTAGCAACAAAGGTCGTTGGTTTGAATCCCAATCACTGCACTATGCCTGGAGTTTGCATGTTCTCCCTGTGCCTGCTTGGGTTTATCCAGGTAATCCGGTTTCCTCCCACACTCCAAAGACATGCTGGTAGGTTAATTGGCTCCTGTCTAAATTGTCCCTAGTATGTGTATGTATGAATGTGAGTTAGGGACCTTAGATTGTACGCTTGTGGACAAGGACTGATGTGAATGTATTATATATATCTAAAGTGCTGCGTAAATTAAAGGTGCTATGTAAGTACCTGTAATAAATGTCATTATCAAGACATGCTGGGAGGTGAATTGGCTCCTGTCTAAATTGTCCCTAGTATGTGTATGTATGAATGTGGGTTAGGGACCTTAGATTGTACACCCCTTGAGGGTTAGGGACTGATGTGAATGTACAATATATATGCAAAGTGCTGTGTAAATTGACAGCGATATATAATTACATGTAATAAATAATAAGTAAAAGTTTTATTGAGGTGATCCCATCACAGCATACAATTGTGAATTTTTTTGGGGGGTGCTGCGCAGGACCCCTTCATCAGGCATTCAATTGAAGGGGTGCAGCACTGTAATGTGATTGCTTCAATTAACTTTTGGATGCTATTCCAAAGATCCTTGGTGTGCTGGCAATACATGCCTTAAAGTGGAGTTCCGCCCAAAAGGGGAAGTTGTGCTTTAATGCTTTGTCCCCCCGCTCCCCATTAAGGATTGGCACCTTGGGGAGCGGGTACCTGAATTAGACAGGTACCTGCTCCCACTTCTGCTGCGATTGCCTAGGCGATTGGAAGCGGAAGTTGTCCTCCCTCCCTGTAGTATTTTGAGACATATGACAGGTCCCAGAAGACTACGGGGCCATTCACAAAGCGCAGCGCTTCTTGCACATGCGCCAGTGGGCACCTGGTTGTGAAGCTGCAAGCCGTCACATCTGGGTGCCCACACTAAAGATGCCGGGGAGAGAAGACGGCCCGTGAAACCAGCCGTGGTGAGGACACCACTGGACCGACGGACAGCTAAGTGGCTGTATTTTAAAAGTCTTCAGCTACAGTTTTTGTAGCTGCTGACCTTTTTTTTTTTTTCTTTTTCTTCAGCTTGAACTCCGCTTTAAAGTGGTTGTAAACCCTGACATGTACCCAATGAAGTGACTGGCCTCAGGTGATGCACAGAGATGAAACAAATCCACCTACATAAGTTGTACCTGTTTATCTACAACTCTCTCTCTCTCCCCCCACATCTATTGAAAGTGTAGAATTTACTCGGGATCTCTCGGCTATGAAAAGCAGGGGTGGGGAGTTGAAGTCGCATCAGTGAGGAGAGCTTTAAGAGCTGATTGGAGGGAAGGGACACACCACCTTCCACACAGCACACCAGAACACAGGCTGTCAATTGCAGGCTGCGCCCTCCCGTCACCATTTTTCTTTTGGTGTCGGGAAAACCCGTCAGAAGTGACTCCTGCTAATAGTATAGGAACAAGTCAGAAATGACGCTTAGTACTCTGGATTGAGACAAGCACACACTATGGAGGGATATGTTTTGTTCATTTATCATGTCTGAGGTTCACAACCACTTTAGCCTTGTGTCAATGCCAGTTCTCAGCCAGCATTCGCTGCAGCACCCACTTATTAAAAAGTCATTTCCAGGAAGCAACAAACTGCAAGAGATGGGAGAGTTTGAATTTCAGTCTGTTTTGAAACTTCTGTAGCCATGAGTTGTTAATGGCTTTTCTTTGTCACCTGTCTCATTCATCTTTTTTTTTTTTTTTTTTTTTTTCCTTTTTTCTTTTTTTTTTTTTGGTACTTATTATTATATGCACTTATTGATTTTGGGTCCTAGTTGCTTTACATTTATACTTCTTTGCCTCCTTTGTCATAGATGTGGGCCTGTGCTCTTGGGCACACAGAGGCCGCCACCCTCCTCTTCCGCTGGGACTGCCGGGCTCTCTCTATACCGGACTCCTTGGGCCGCCTTCCTCTTGGAGTGGCCCGTTCTCGAGGACACGTCAAACTGGCCTCCACTCTGGAGGAGATGCAGAGACAAGAAGCTGCGCCGGCAAACTTCACTGAATTACATTCTGGAAGCTGGCATTCGTTGATGGGAAGCCAGGAGATTGGTCGAGGACTGTCTCCAATATCTACGAGTGCAGACACCGGTAATAGCGCTGTCTATCTCTTAGCAAGGGTCAGAACTGTGATTTTGACTACAAAGAACCATAATCTCAGTTTTTTCCTTGTCAGTGCAGTTCATGTAAGATTTAAGGGCACAGGGGGGTTAATTTACTAAAACTCAATGGTGCAAAATCTGGTGCAGCTCTGCATAGAAGCCAATCGGCTTCCAGGTTTTATTGCCAAAGCCTAATTGAACAAGCTGAGGTTGGAAGCTGATTGGTTTCTATGCACAGATTTTGCGCTCTCGAGTTTTAGTAAATCAACCCCAAGGAGTCCTAGCTTAAAAAACAAAAACCTTTGTAACTATAATGAGATAAAACGTGAGAACATCATGTCCGTATGACCTTAGCAGAGGAATAAATGATAGAAAATGGAAGTCAGGGAATGGTTATGAATATCTTGTCAGTTAGTGGAGGAGGAAGCCATATTGGATCAGTAGTCTGTATATAAGGTGACAGTGTGTGTCTTGTGTGATAGTGGAGGAGGAAGCCATGTTGGATCAGTAGTCTGTATATAAGATGACAGTGTGTGATAGTGGAGGAGGAAGCCGTATTGGATCAGTAGTCTGTATATAAGATGACAGTGTGTGTCTTGTGTGATAGTGGAGGAGGAAGCCATATTGGATCAGTAGTCTGTATATAAGGTGCCAGTGTGCGTCTTGTGTGATAGTGGAGGAGGAAGCCGTATTGGATCAGTAGTCTGTATATAAGGAGACAGTGTGTGTGATAGTGAAGGAGGAAGCCGTATTGGATCAGTAGTCTGTATATAAGGTGATAGTGGAGGAGGAAGCCGTATTGGATCAGTAGTCTGTATATAAGGTGATAGTGGAGGAGGAAGCCGTATTGGATCAGTATTCTGTATATAAGGTGACAGTGTGTGTCTTGTGTGATAGTGGAGGAGGAAGCCATGTTGGATCAGTAGTCTGTATATAAGGTGACAGTGTGTGTCTTGTGTGATAGTGGAGGAGGAAGCCATGTTGGATCAGTAGTCTGTATATAAGGAGACAGTGTGTGATAGTGGAGGAGGAAGCCGTATTGGATCAGTAGTCTGTATATAAGGTGACAGTGTGTGTCTTGTGTGATAGTGGAGGAGGAAGCCGTATTGGATCAGTAGTCTGTATATAAGATGACAGTGTGTGTTTTGTGTGATAGTGGAGGAGGAAGCCGTATTGGATCAGTAGTCTGTATATAAGGTGATAGTGGAGGAGGAAGCCGTATTGGATCAGTAGTCTGTATATAAGGTGACAGTGTGTGATAGTGGAGGAGGAAGCCGTATTGGATCAGTAGTCTGTATATAAGGTGACAGTGTGTGATAGTGGAGGAGGAAGCCGTATTGGATCAGTAGTCTGTATATAAGATGACAGTGTGTGATAGTGGAGGGGGAAGCCGTATTGGATCAGTAGTCTGTATATAAGATGACAGTGTGTGATAGTGGAGGAGGAAGCCGTATTGGATCAGTAGTCTGTATATAAGATGACAGTGTGTGATAGTGGAGGGGGAAGCCGTATTGGATCAGTAGTCTGTATATAAGGTGACAGTGTGTGTCTTGTGTGATAGTGGAGGAGGAAGCAGTGCTGGATCAGTAGTCTGTATTTAAGGAGACAGTGTGTGTCTTGTGTGATAGTGGAGGAGGAAGCCGTATTGGATCAGTAGTCTGTATATAAGGTGACAGTGTGTGTCTTGTGTGATAGTGGAGGAGGAAGCCATGTTGGATCAGTAGTCTGTATATAAGGTGACAGTGTGTGTCTTGTGTGATAGTGGAGGAGGAAGCAGTGCTGGATCAGTAATCTGTATTTAAGGTGACAGCGCCTTGTCTGATAGTGGAGAAGGAAGCAATGATGGATCAGTAATCTGTATACAGCAGGTAAAATAAATATTGAATATGTCACCATTTTTTAGGTAAATATATTTCTAGAGGTGCTATTGAATTATGTGTAATAAAATGGAACGACCTAGGGAAAAAGTATTGAACACATGAAGAAAGGGAGGTGCAAAACGGCATAGAAAGCCAAGACACCAGCTGATATCTGTCAGTAATTAGAAAGCAATCCCGCCCCTTGTCACTGCAAATTAATAGCTGGTTCAGTCTCAGCTGATATAAAAAGGTACATCATTACTAAGGTGTCACACAAGAAACATCTCTTGATAGCTAAAAGCAAAGCGCTCTCTCAAGACCTTCGCAACCTTATTGCTGCAAAACATTCTGATGCCATTGGTCACAGAAAAATTTCTAAACTTATGAATGTTCCAGTGAGCACTGTTGGGGCCATAATCTGGAAGTGGAAAGAACATTTCACCATAAACCGGGCATGACCCGGTGCTCCTCGCAAGATTTCTGACAGAGGAGTGAAAAGAATTATCAGAAGAGTTGTCCAAGAGCCAAGGACCACTTATGGAGCGCTTCAGAAAGACCTGAAATTAGCAGTTACAATTGTTTCAAAGAAAACTATAATTAATGCACCGCCATGGTCTGTATGATCGCTCACCACGCTGGACTCCACTGCTGAAGAAAAAGCATGTTAAAGTTTGCTGCACAACATTTAGACAAGCCTGTGAAATACTAGGAGAATATAGTCTGGTCAGATGAGATCAAAATTGAACTCTTTGGATGATACACCATGTTTGGAGGTCACATGGCACTGCACATCACCCCATAAAACACCACCCCAACTGTGAAGCATGGCGTTTGGAACATCTTGGTGTGGGGCTGTTTTTCAGCATACGGTACTGGCAAGCTTCATGTCATTTAGCCACTTCCAGTCCGGACACTTCCCCCCCCCCCCCTTCCATTCCGGACACTTCCCCCCCCCCCCCCCTTCCAGTCCGGACACTTCTCCCCCCCCCCCCCCCCCTTCCAGTCTGGACACACTTTCCCCCCCCTTCCAGTCCGGACACTTTCCCCCCCCCTTCCAGTCCGGACACTTTCCCCCCCCTTCCAGTCCGGACACTTTCCCCCCCCTTCCAGTCGGGACACTTTCCCCCCCCTTCCAGTCGGGACACTTTCCCCCCCCTTCCAGTCGGGACACTTTCCCACCCCCCCCCCCTTCCAGTCGGGACACTTTCCCCCCCTTCCTGCCCAGGCCAATTTTCAGCTTTCAGCGCTATCACACTTTGAATGACAATTGCGCGGTCATGCAACACTGCACCCATATGAATTTTTTACCATTTTTTTGAGACATATAAAGCTTTATTTTGGTGGTATTTATTCACCGCTGGGATTTTTATTTTTTTTGCTATGTAAATGAAAAAGTCCAAAAATTTTGAAAAGTGTTTTTTTTTTTTAAATAAAATTTTGCAAATAATATTTCATCATAAATCTTGGCCAAAATTTATTCCGTTTTTTTTAGTAAAAAAAAAAAATCCAAATTAGTTTATAACCAAAAATTATAATTTTTAAACATTTTTTTTTTACATTTTATTTTTTTTTATATTATTATTATTATTTTTTTTTTTTTTTTACATACTGTCACCATAGCAGTACAGTGCACCATGGTGACACTGTACTACTTTTGGGGGGTGATGAAGATTTTTATTTTTTTTTTACACTGATTGCTTTTATACCCATATAGAATGTAAAAGCAATCATTTCTCTTTCTCTCTGTCTGCATTTTTGCAGTCATTGAGAAGTACTGAGTGAGCTGTGATTGGTCACAGCTTGTCACATGGTACAAGGCTGTTGTGAATAGCCCTGTACCATGTGATCTCTGTGATCATTCACAGATTTCACAGGTAGTAAGCAATGATGTTACAAGTGACATCTTGCTTACTACTTTGCATGTGATCACTGATTGGCCAATCAGTGATCACATGATTGGGACCTCATACAGAGGTCCCGTCTGATCGGTGTTTCACTGTGTCCGGAGGACACAGCGGGCACCGGATTGCGGTGCTGTGCACTCCCAGGGAGCGTGCACAGCTAGAAAAGGCGGGTGCCGTTAGTGAACGGCAACCCGACCCTGGACTGCCACCGCCCTGCCGTTTATAAACAACAGGCGGACGGCAAGAGGTTAAGGAAGGATGAATGGAAAATGTACCAAGACATTCTTGATAAAAGTCTGCTGCCATCTACCAGGATGATGATGAAACGAGGGCGGACATTCTAGCAAGACAATGATTCCAAACACAAAGCCAAGGAAACTCTCAGTTGGTTCAAAGAGAGAAAATAAAGCTGCTGGAATGGCCCAGCCAATCACCTGACTTGAATCCAATAGAAGATCCATGGACAGATCTAAAGATCAGAGTTCATAGAAGAGACCCGCGGAACCTCCAAGATTTGAGGACTGTGTGGAAGAATGGACCATTAGTTTTTTTTTTTCCTTTTGCTGTGTTGCCCACCCCCTCAGTTGGATTGCTTTTCTCTGAAGGTTTAAGGATTTCCTGAGTCCCTCAACGGAAAAGAAAATCCTTTTTTGGAGTTCTTTGAGGGACACAGGCCCCTCTCTTCATGTTTACGCTCATACTGTTGGTGCTGCTTTTCTACAGAGCTGAGGTATACCAATAACAGGAAGGGCTGGCGCACAGGTTTTATGTTTTTTTTTGCCGATGTCCAGACCTCCTGCAAGCAGTAAAACCCAAAAGTTGGCTTTCCTGTGTCCTTTATGTACTCCAAGAAAATGGTTTTACAGTTAGTTCAGAAGTCCTGTTTTGCTACAAAACCCGATCATTCCTGTGGTAAGTTGGGGAGACTTTTACCATTCTTGTGAATGTTCCCTGTGCAGGTCTCAGCAGTCTCCCGTCTCCTTCCGAGGTGTCAGACGGCTCCATTTCTGTCACTTCAGCCTACTCCAGCAGCTCTGCTCTCCGTGGTTCACCAGACTGCAGCCCGGAGAGCAGCCAGGACACTCCTGTAGAAACATCCCCCAATTCCAGGCTGCTAGGAGCTGCATCCTGGGACCTGGAGGATCCAGTGGAACAAGGCCAGTACCTGGACTCCCCTGGAGCGGTTGGTGCAGATCTCCTGGAATACAGAGAGGACACAGAAAACCAGAACTATTTGCAGGTAACGTTTCTCTCCTTGTCCCCCTCTGCTGTTCTACCCCACACTCTTTCCATGCTGTTTATCTGTTGCTCTCTTTACTCCCTCTCCCCTGCCCTTCCTTTGTTTATGTGCACCTTCCTTTCTCTCTTATGGCCCCTCACCTCCTTCCCCCCCATCGCCTCCACTCTCCCTTGTCCCAGGTTGATATGGTCACCCTCGCAGAACAGATCATAGAGGCCACTCCGGATCGCATCAAGCAGGATGATTTCACCGCCTCAGACTCCGCTCCGCTCAGAGAGAGATCGGGCAACCTTAGCAAGACTATGGCATGGCTGGCCAGCTACCTGGATACCGCCGACCAGATGCCCGGCTTACCCCCCGCATGGGTCAGTATTAGGATCCCTTGGGTTTTGTGTGTGGATTTCATGTGCCTAAAATTAGACACACCTTGAACTATGTAGGGGTTCTGTTTTTGCAGATCTTTGTGGAAATGCATTTTATATTTAAAAAAAAAAAAAAAAACCCATGCATTTGCACCTACACTGGCCACGTACCGTGATCCCCATGTAGCTACAGTAACAACTAGTGTTTTTGGTGAAATATTTACTGCATGGCTGGACAAAGAAGCTAGTTAGAGCCGAATAGAATACATTTTTTGGGGAAATGGGTTTTTAAGAATCTTGCTTTCTGATGCCCTTCCAAAAGATGGTTCACCCAATTGCAGGCCAAAATCTGAGTCTAGGCAGACTGTATTTAGCAGCTTCTAGCGTTTGTACGAAGTGGCATGTTCTAGACCAGGGGTCTGCAAATGTTCTAAGCAAAGGGACAATTAACTGTGTTTTAACCCTTAGGCGGGCCAAACTGTGGCCAGTGGGAATAGAAAACACCCTGGTGTCAGTGGGAATAATCCGGACCCATCCAGACCTTTGTGGTTCAACCAGTTAGAAGCCAGTTCTACACCTCAACCGCCGCTGTCATCACAGCAGAGTTGAGAGAGGGAGGCAGCCGCGGGACAGCTCTAGACAGAGTGCGGGAGATAAAGCAGCTTTGGATGGAGGGCGGGAGCTGACAGAGTTAACTCTTCAAGTGTCCTAGCAAGTGATTGGTTGCTAGGACCGCCTTACATCCTAAACACCAATCACCTGCTGGGATACTTGGAAAGTTAACTCCGGCAGTTCTTGCTCCCACTCCCACCCTTCATCCAAAGCTGCTCTGCCTCCCACTATCTAGAGCTGTCCTGCTTCCTGCTGTCCACTCTCTGTACCGGAGTAAGGTAGGAGAGTGAAGGGGCTACAGTGTGAATGGGGGGACAAGGCTGTTGGGGGTCTGTCATGTGAATGGGGGGGGCAAAGCTGAGGGTGGCTGCACTGTAAATTAAATGGGAGGAGCAGAGCTGAGGAGGGCTGCAATGTTTAAAGGGGGGGTTGCAGTGTGAATGGGGAGGCGCAGCTGGGGGGGTTTGCAATGCGAATGGGGGAGGCAGGCTGAGGGGGTGGTTCCAATATCAAAGGGGGAGGCAGGGCTCAGGGGGGTTGCAATATCAATGGGGGAGGCAGGGCTCAGGGGGGTTGAAGTATCAAGGGGGGAGGCAGGGCTCAGGGTGGGTTGCAATATCAGTGGGGAGGCAGGGCTCAGGGTGGGTTGCAATATCAATAGGGAGGCAGGGCTGAGGGGGGGGTTGCAATATCAATGGGGGAGGCAAGGCTGAGGGGGGGGGGGGTTGCAGTGTCCATGGGGGAGGCAGGGCTGAGGGGGGGTTGCAATGTCCATGGGGGAGGCAGGGCTGTGGGGGGGGTTGCAATGTCCACGGGGGAGGCAGGGCTGAGGGGGGGGGGGCTGCAGTGCCAGTGGGGGAGGCACGGCTGAGGGCGTTTGCAATGCCAATGGGGGAGGCAGGGCTGAGGGGGGGACTGCAATGCCAATGGGGGATGCAGGGCTGAGGGGGGTTTGCGATGTCAATGGGGGAGGCAGGGCTGAGGGGGGTTTGCGATGCCAATGAGGGAGGCAGGGCTGAGGGGGTTTGCAATGCCAATGGGGGAGGCAGGGCTGAGGGGGGTTTGCGATGCCAATGAGGGAGGCAGGGCTGAGGGGGTTTGCAATGCCAATGGGGGAGGCAGGGCTGAGGGGGGTTTGCGATGCCAATGGGGGAGGCAGGGCTGAGGGGGCATTGCAATGCCAATGGGGGAGGCAGGGCTGAGGGGGCATTGCAATGTGAATAGGGGGCAGAGCTGAGGGGTCTGCAAGGTGAATGGGGGAGCAGAGCTGGGGAGATTGCAGTGTCAATGGGGGGCAGAGCTGGGGGAAGGGGGGGGGGGGGTAAAGGAGACCACTGTTAAAATGGGGGCGAAGGACATTGTCTTTCTACCACAGTAATGTGGTAGTGACATTGTCACTCTCAGACATGAGGGGTCCACAAGTATTACAAGATATACTTACAGAAATCAACAGGGTAATAGTGTGTCAATGGAAGAGGTGCATTAGTCTATCCCGTATCATGGTCACTGGTGCTACAGTAGGTGTGTCCAGCAAAGCTCCCCACATTTTTTTGCTATGAAGTCTGTTTTTCCTAAACAGAAGGAGGAATTAACCTCCTTAATCCAAGATTCTACTGTTGGAAAAGAGGGTGCCAACCACTTCACACCTATCAGTTTCCTCGTTATAAATAACACTCGGCTTATGGCAACAGTCACCAAGGTGTTCTTTTCCGGAAGTTCCAGCCAACCCAAGTCACAAGTGAGAGGGGTAAAGGGAATCGAACACCAAACTGACTATGTCCACTATGCCACGCCAACAGCGAAATAACTTGGGGTAACGCCAATGCATATGCAGTAGGTCTCCCTCGTCTCTGACATCTTGGACAGAGTGAAGAGTCTCTATGGCAATATTTGTGCAGCCATATGGGCGTTCGATATGTCCTATGAAGAATGTAGAGTTGATATGGGCATTCGATATGTCCTATGAAGAATGTAGAGTTGATATGGGCGTTCGATATGTCCTATGAAGCATGTAGAGTTGATATGGGCGTTCGATATGTCCTATGAAGCATGTAGAGTTGATATGGGCGTTCGATATGTCCCATGAAGAATGTAGAGTTGATACGGGCGTTCGATATGTCCTATGAAGAATGTAGAGTTGATATGGGCGTTCGATATGCCCTATGAAGAATGTAGAGTTGATACGGGCATTCGATATGTCCTATGAAGAATGTAGAGTTGATACGGGCGTTCGATATGTCCTATGAAGAATGTAGAGTTGATACGGGCGTTCGATATGTCCTATGAAGAATGTAGAGTTGATACGGGCGTTCGATATGTCCTATGAAGAATGTAGAGTTGATATGGGCGTTCGATATGTCCTATGAAGAATGTAGAGTTGATATGGGCGTTCGATATGCCCTATGAAGAATGTAGAGTTGATATGGGCATTCGATATGTCCTATGAAGAATGTAGAGTTGATACGGGCATTCAATATGTCCTATGAAGAATGTAGAGTTGATATGGGCGTTCGATATGTCCTGTGAAGAATGTAGAGTTGATACGGGCGTTCGATATGTCCTATGAAGAATGTAGAGTTGATATGGGCGTTCGATATGTCCTGTGAAGAATGTAGAGTTGATACGGGCGTTCGATATGTCCTGTGAAGAATGTAGAGTTGATACGGGCGTTCGATATGTCCTATGAAGAATGTAGAGTTGATACGGGCGTTCGATATGTCCTATGAAGAATGTAGAGTTGATATGGGCGTTCGATATGTCCTATGAAGAATGTAGAGTTGATACGGGCGTTCGATATGTCCTATGAAGAATGTAGAGTTGATACGGGCGTTCGATATGTCCTATGAAGAATGTAGAGTTGATACGGGCGTTCGATATGTCCTATGAAGAATGTAGAGTTGATATGGGCGTTCGATATGTCCTGTGAAGAATGTAGAGTTGATACGGGCGTTCGATATGTCCTATGAAGAATGTAGAGTTGATATGGGCGTTCGATATGTCCTGTGAAGAATGTAGAGTTGATACGGGCGTTCGATATGTCCTGTGAAGAATGTAGAGTTGATACGGGCGTTCGATATGTCCTGTGAAGAATGTAGAGTTGATACGGGCGTTCGATATGTCCTATGAAGAATGTAGAGTTGATATGGGCGTTCGATATGTCCTATGAAGAATGTAGAGTTGATATGGGCGTTCGATATGTCCTATGAAGAATGTAGAGTTGATACGGGCGTTCGATATGTCCTATGAAGAATGTAGAGTTGATATGGGCGTTCGATATGTCCTATGAAGAATGTAGAGTTGATACGGGCGTTCGATATGTCCTATGAAGAATGTAGAGTTGATACGGGCGTTCGATATGTCCTATGAAGAATGTAGAGTTGATACGGGCGTTCGATATGTCCTATGAAGAATGTAGAGTTGATACGGGCGTTCGATATGTCCTATGAAGAATGTAGAGTTGATACGGGCGTTCGATATGTCCTATGAAGAATGTAGAGTTGATACGGGCGTTCGATATGTCCTATGAAGAATGTAGAGTTGATACGGGCGTTCGATATGTCCTATGAAAAATGTAGAGTTGATATGGGCGTTCGATATGTCCTATGAAGAATGTAGAGTTGATATGGGCGTTCGATATGTCCTATGAAGAATGTAGAGTTGATACGGGCGTTCGATATGTCCTATGAAGAATGTAGAGTTGATACGGGCGTTCGATATGTCCTATGAAGAATGTAGAGTTGATATGGGCGTTCGATATGTCCTATGAAGAATGTAGAGTTGATATGGGCGTTCGATATGTCCCATGAAGAATGTAGAGTTGATATGGGCGTTCGATATGTCCTATGAAGAATGTAGAGTTGATATGGGCGTTCGATATGTCCTATGAAGAATGTAGAGTTGATATGGGCGTTCGATATGTCCCATGAAGAATGTAGAGTTGATACGGGGCGTTCGATATGTCCTATGAAGAATGTAGAGTTGTGATCATCTTTGAGTTGAAGAGATAGGAGGCATAGTTTGTAAGATAATTTCCCACTGCCCAGCAGAGATGTCTCCCAAATACTTTTCCCATTTGGCCTTACAGACCAGGGAGGGTTTGGTCCAAATAAGCGTTAAGTAAACTAAAGCTCTCCGTAGATGGATCGATTGAAGTCAATGTTGAGGGGGGGAATCCCTCCCAGAGAGCCATTGTGTTCTCCTGGCGTGGGGGAGCAGAACACAGTAATTACTGCTGGCGGCTATAATAGCCATTAGCAATAATCACATGTAAAATCCGACAGGCTGGTTGTACCCAAGTTGATCAATCTGTCAACTTGGGTATATTCAGCCTGCCCATGCATGGTTCAAATCTCGGCCGCTTCCTGCTGAACTGGCCAAGACTTGAACCATCTATGGTCGGCTTAAGGTATACATAGGAAACATTTCCCTGCCTGGAGGGCACCATGTTAAGGATAACTGCTTGATAGAACAATGGTGAAGATTGTCTCTGCTGGGCACGGAATGCGTGATGTAATTGGAGGCTTCGGAAAAAAACAACCTCTAGGGATATCGTTTTCTTCCTGCAATTGTAGGAATAATTTGAACACGTTTTTAGTGCACACTTGAGAAAGATTAAAAATATCTCTAGATTTCCATGACATGCACAAAGTTTGATTATAGTAAACAATCCTAACCAATAACTCCCTCCTTTTCAGGCAAAAAGTAATGGCCACTTAGAAAAAATGCAAGACAATCATCTCGTGCAAATTTCCTTCTTGACCTCTGGAAGGTTTTATCCCCTACATGACCAGGGCATTTTTTTTGCTATTCAGAACTGTGCTGCTTTAACTGGCAATTGCATGGTCATGCGACACTGTACACTATTAAATTTATATTGGGTTTTTTTTTTTTTACACAAATAGAGCTTTCTTTTGGTGGATGTTAGTCGTCACTGGGGTTTTTTTTTACACAAATAGAGCTTTCTTTTGGTGGTTGTTAGTCGTCACTGGGGGGTTTTTTTGGTTTTTTTTTACACAAATAGAGCTTTCTTTTTGGTGGTTTTTAGTCGTCACTGTTTTTTTTTTTTTTTTAATTATTATAGTGAAAATTTAGCAAAATAAAAAAATTTTACTTTCTGTTATAAAACATATCCAGTAACATCAAATTTCTTCATAAATTTAGGCCAAAATGTATTCTGCTACATGCCTTTGGTAACAACTAAACTGCATTTTTGGGGACACATATACTATTGGGGACACTAGAATAGTTCTGATTGTGATCAAGATACTGATCCACACAGACACTATACTGGTAATGGTGGTGATCAGCGACCTATAGGGTCACTGTGATAGTGTGGCGAGCAATCTGAAGCTAACAGACACTGGCTGGGAGTGTCACTAACTGACATGGCTAGTGATACTAATATAGTGACCAGTGATAATACTGTACACTGACACCATTAATGATACTGGCTGGGAAGAGGTTAACATCTAGGGGCAATCAAGGTGTCAGGATCCGGGTGTTCTGCGGCATCGCGTCGGGCGGCGCATGCGCAGAACACCCACTCTCTCTACCCGGCGGGCGGTAGGACCTGGCCGCGCATGGCAGCGGCGGGGTTCGCGCATGCGCACTCGGGATCACGGGACGCGCGCGCGCCTGGCACCAATGACAGCGGGAGGCGGGCTATTTAAACGCAGGAACAGGTATGTTAGTTGCCGTTTGGTCTTGTATCCTGTGTCCTGTATCCTGTTCCTGTGTTGCTGTATACTCCGTTGCCGACCTCTGCTTGTTCCTGATCCTGCTCTCTCCTGTTTGACCCCTGGCTTGCCTGACTACTCTTCTGTCTGATCCCTGGTACTGTATTTGCCCGCATCCTGCTGAACCTGGCTTGTGACCTGACCATTCTTAGCTCGCTCCTCTGTACCTCGCTGCCCGCATAATACCGACCGGCCTGTCTGACCACGCATACCGTATCCATCCACCCCCATCCATCCATCCGGTTTGGGTCAGACCTGTGTATCTCTCTGCCTCTTCCAAATAGATTCCGTTCCTGCACTCCCCTGTCAGTATTCTCTACCACCGCAGGACGCACTCGGGGGTCGCGACCTGGTTTCAGTCTGCACCAAGTCCATCCCCACCATCAGGGGCCCTGGTGAATAGCAGGCTGGGACTTAGACCCCGCGCCCTGGGAGCGTCCGTGCGGTGGGCTGCTAGAGACTCTGCCAGGCGGCTTAACACAAGGGGTTAACTGTGTGCCTAACATTGTGTTATGTGTGCTGCTTTTACTCACAGATCTAGCTGCTTTTTCTCCCGGAGTTGATTCCAGGGAGAAGAAACAGCCAGATTGATGCCTGTGTACGTAGTTCTGTGATTGTCCATGGCCAATCAGCAGGCATACAGACATAATGATTGGCTGGAACCTGCTGGCAAACTCATGCTGGGTCCAGGTGCGGCACGGATCAGCTGGAGGCCCCAGCAGTATACGGGTACTTCGTGGTGCATGGTCGTGTTGCCCACAGTTAATCTACCGTGAGAAGGTGGCAAGTGGTTAAACTAAAACAAAATGAGAATTCGCAATTGCTATTATAAAGTGGCACAAGATGGTGGCTGTACAGAGAACGGTGATACAAATTAAAATGCTAAACATGGGCCAACAAGTCAAGAGACGTTTAGTGGTTGGCGCTATAAGCAGCGGCAGGGTGTGTTTTCTTTAATTTCTTTCAATGGGAAACCAATTGGGACATAAAGGGGCTGCATAGGGAATTTTTTTTTCTTTTTTTTTTAATCTGACCCTCACGGGCTCCCTAAAACTTGTCCATGGACCCCAGGTTAAGAACACCTGTTTTAAGCTATCTTGATTTTTATTTCCAGCCTTGGTGATCTGGAACATAAAATAGAAATTTCTGTGTTTTGCACCTGTAATGTCTCCGACCCAGACTGCGCTTGAGTACTTCCGCTAGACTACCGCTTCCCCGTCCGAACACCGACAACAGACACCACAGCCCACCATACATGACTAGACGACACCAGTCTTGAAGTAAACCAGGAGGTAGACTCGTTTATTTGAACACAGATACAAGATATATACACTCAAGGGACAGTCCCCCCTCCCTGCATAATGACACAGGGCGGGGCAATCTACATTTAGTAGCAAGAGACACACAGGTATTCAAACTTCACACCAGCAGACAGTCCCATCAGGAGGGAGGGCTGCTGGAGACACCCCCCCCCCCCCAAGCTAATACACATAAACACATCCCATAATAGTTTGCTCCCAAGCCAGACACACAATATAACAATGGGATGCAGCCACAAAACATTAAACAATCAACAAACCCCACCGATCTCCTAAACATGTCTACACAGTCTGAGACATAGCCCATACAATATTAGGACAGATCACCCTGTACCCCCAACAGGCATAGGGTGACTTACACATAAGAGGGATATGGGGAGCTGAGACAGGGGTCTCCCCACCTCTCCAAAGTGAGCTGGGTTCCATGGGCCCCCCACCCAAAGTGACTCCCATCACAGCACCCTTCTGTTTGAATAAAGTTGGATTATTTTTGACAGTAGGCACCTGGCCAGTCGCTGACAACTCTGTTTTTTAGCCTATTCCTAACTGGTGCAGTTGAGTACAGGAAATGTGACGTTTGCGCTTGCATTGCTCTAACCCTCACCAGTTGCACAACAGATCAAATCAAAGATTGGCTTCTCTGAATCTTTAAATGATATTATAAGGGTGCAGAGTCCATAAATTACTATTTATAATAAACCAGCAAAACAATACTTGCTCTTCCTGAAGGCTGCCATTTGGCATCAGAGTTGCCCCTTCTCCTGTTTAGAAATCTAATGAGGAGTTTGCTTTTTTTCTGCAGTTTTGTGTGCTTGTAGTCAAGAGCAGATGGCTATGTTGACTCTAACCTGTGGTATCTCCATGCAGAGAGGGTATGCGGGCAGCACGTGCCTTGGCTCGCTTTGCTCAGATGAGTCCAGGAGAAGACGGTAGCAGCCTGGGGTCACATTCTGATGTTGGAGCCTTTGGACAGCGAAGCAAACGGGTAAACAGAAGGTCCATGGAGGGCTTACGCGTTAAAGTGACCAGGTATGAAGCTCATTTGTAGCTCTTTTCTTGCATGAATGGTCTTCTAGACTTCACAGTATTGGCCTTCCTTTTATATTTTCAGGTCCGAGGCCCCACCATCCCCTACAACACCTCCCCCGTTAGGGGAGATCTCCTTTGAACGGTTTGACCCTCCCGGTGCAGCCAGGTGGTCCGAGTTCCTCAGTGCCTCAAGCAGTGGACGGATGGAGAGCGAGTTTGCTCTGCTGACCCTCTCGGACCACGAACAGCGGGAGCTCTACGAGGCGGCCCGGGTTATTCAGACCGCCTTTCGCAAGTACAAGGTGAGACCACAGCTGGATCTACTAATGTGCCACTTGTCTTTACTGATGATAGACAGCAAATTAAAAATAAAAAATTCCATTGGTTTTATCCATTCACAACTCTGTCACTTAGTGGGGAACATTCTTCACTTCCTCTCCTGGAGACGCAACAAAAGAAACCACTCTTCAAAGTGAGGAAAGAAAAACTCTGAGGGAAAATCACATTCGAAGATTTCCCTTTACCTCTTGTTCATTGAACATCTGTTAGGCCTCAGTCTCACAAGGGGTACTGAAGCATACGCTCATAGAGAGAGCTGTGTGTAACCGTGCAGGCAGCCCCACTGATCTCGTATGGGATGTGGTGGCTGCACAGACACTGACATTGCTCCCAGTCTGACAAACACAGACAGTGCAAGTACTTTGCTTTGCACCCGCACGGATGTCAAATTGGGAGCAGTGGTTGTGTCCATGCAGACACTGTTTCCCAATTGACATCAATGGGGCTGCCTGCGCAGGGATGCATGGAATACCTGTGCATCCATATGGAGGTAAACATGCCTTCCACAGGCATATGCTTCAGCATGCCACATGTGAATGAGGCCTAAGAATTTACAGGGGTTGGACAAAAATATAAAAACACTACATGATTTGCAGGTGTGAAAGTGACAACATGTTTCACATTGAAAGCACAAGTGATGTAACATTCATTTGCTTCTGCTGTGTGATGAGACACCAAGCGCACAGGTGGGAAGCCTCACTTTCCTTATTCACTGCATGCGCTGCTAGTAATACGGAGTCATGTCAGAGATTACTGCGCTTCAAAGAGGGCAAATGGTTGGATCCGCTTAGCTGGTGTCTCTGTGACTGAAATAGCCAATTTATTTGCCGTGTTGTGAGGTGCAGTATCAAATGTTATGGCGGCGTATACAGTTTCCGGGGAAACGTCGTCTAATGAGCATAAGCGCGGCTGACATGGTCAACTGACCGAAAGAGACAAAAGGACCTTGCGCAGGATTGTGATTCGGAATAGGAAAACTGATGCAAAAGTGACTGCAGAGCTCAATCTCAGTCTTTCACAAACACTGAGCGGAGGGAACTCAATAAGCAAAACATTCACAGGCGAGCTGCAACTGTCAAACCACTAGAGACCGATATTAATGCTCTGAAGAGCAGAGAGTGGTGCAACACCCATAAATTGCGGACTCTCTATCAATGGAAGACTGTAGCATGGTCCAGTGAACCGAGCTTCACACTGTTCCCAACCACCAGACGTTTGTGTGATGAACACCGTCCCAAGCTTACCACCAGGGCTGCCTTGTGCCAACGGTAAAGCATGGTGGTGGCACAATCATGGTTTGGGCAGCCATATCTTGGTATTCTGCAGGCCCCATCATCACCTTTAAAAGGTAGAGTCACTGCCAGCCACTATGTACAAACTTTACCATGTGCACCCCAAGTTGTGACATTGTTTCCAGAAGACCGCGCCTTTTACCAAGATGATAATGCTCCAAATCACACAGCTGGTGTTGTCAAATTGTGGTTTGACGAGCATGAGACAAAGTCTTGCACCTTCCCTGGGCACTGCGTTTGTCAGAGCTCAATATCATAGAGCCATTATGGTCAATGGTCAATTTTGGAAAGCAAGGTTCAGGCTCGTTTTCTGCCTCTGGCATCTTGGTGAGAACCGTAACAATTTTTGTATGAAGAGTGGTATCAGATTCCATTATCCACCATCCAAGACTTCTATTTGTCAATTCTCAGGAGAATTTGGGATGTGTTGGATGCCAAAGGCAGTCCAACACCATTTGAGGTAACCGTTTTGTTCTCTTACCTGATGTTTCCATGATTTTGTCCATCCCATGTAGATTACCCTGACTTCCTGACCCAATAGCACTGAGAACTAGGACAAATAGAGAGGGTTGGATCAGCAGTAACAACATGTCTTTCTAAGAAGGTTTTGATTTTTTTTTTTTTCTTTTACTTGAACTTGCACTTGTTTGCAAAGACAAACTCCAGTTCCCTGTGGTCATTAGTGGAGTGAAATATTCATGTGGACACATGGATGAATTGTCTTTTTATCATATTATTATACAGGATTTATATGGCGCCAACAGTTTACAAAATGAAGGCAAACATTCCAGTTACAATACAATTTGGTACAAGAGGACACAGAGGGCCCGGCTCGTTAGAGCCTTTTATAGGTCATCTCCTCCCAAAATACTAGTTTTACATGGTTTCTTGCACTCAACTGCCTTTAAAAAAATCAAATTATGATGTCACCCCCTCTCCAGGGATTCTCCAGGGATTGTAAAATAAGTAACCGCAGATCCCAGCTGGGACATCTTCTCTATGGCTTTGAGGAAAGGGCAGAGGTACAACCTTTGGCTGGGGTACCTCATGCTCCAATTTTTTGCCACGTTTTTCTGTGGTAACAAAGACAAAGCGTATCTCAGCATTGAAAAACGACAAGAATTTTCTATATTGTGTTGAAGCTGATGATTTTTTCCAACAATGTCTTCTCTATGCAGGGACGACGGTTAAAGGAACAGCAGGACCTAGCGGCTGCCGTTATTCAGCGCTGCTACCGGAAGTACAAGCAGGTAATGACTTAAAATTGTATTGTTGTTGGCTTAACCTTTTTACCTGAATTTGAAGTACCCCCGCTCCCACTTCCTGTGCGATTGCCTAGGGCGATTGGAAGTGGAAGTTGTCCTCCCCCCTCCCTCCCTGTAGTCTTCTGAGACACATGACAGGCCCCAGAAGACTACGAGACCATTCACATACTCGCGCATGCGCAGTGGCCACCCGAAGCCACAAGCTGTCAGTCAGGTACCCACACTGAAGATGCTGAGGAGAGACGACGGCCGGTGAAACCAGTCATGGTGAGGACACTGCTGGACCGAGGGACAGGTGTCTGTATTTTAAGTCAGCAGCTTCAGTTTTTGTAGCTAATGACTTTATTTACTCAACTGGAACTCCACTTTAACCTATTGGCGCCGGCCAAACGTAAATGTTCCGCCTCCTGGCATCTGGGCCTAGACGCTGAGCGGCCTCACATTTGCGCTCTATTAAAAAAAAACGTGCTGAGTGCGCGCGCCCTGCGCACTCCAATCACACATGTCCGGTACTCACGGAAAGGTCCCGATCTCCTCTTTCGATCGGGACCTTTCCCGATCATGTAACGGCGTGTCACGGCGGTCACATGACCCTAAACCCTGCCTCCCGGCTTCTGAAACCCTTAAAGGGCCAGAAGGCCCCGCGCCAAGAGGTTACAAACAGGTTTAGCTGCAGAATCTTCACGGCACCCCAATTTTTTTGTAGTTCCTAACTATAAATTTTGAGAGCCTCCATAGTAGAACCTAGCAGCTGCCGTTATTCAGCGCTGCTACCGGTATCATATTGGACAGACTGAGGGAGCCCACCCATACTTTAAAGGCAATAAACACCCAGCATACAGCACAATGGCAGCCAAGGTGTCAAGTGCATCCCTCGCCAATATATCAACAGTACAAATAAATGGCCCCAATCTATAACTGGCCTTCACAGCAAGGAGCACATGGAAGGGCATCGCATGTCAAACAATGAGAAAAATTCCTAGCTCAACTTACCGACCAGCTTGCAACCAACCAAATTGTCCTGTCTCGCAGTTTGCGTTAAAAACAGGGGTTTAGTTAGCACACATTTGCAAATACATACGTAAGCCGCAGAGCCTCTTCACGGCACCCTGATATTCTGCAGGTCCTAACTCTACATTTTGAGAGCCTCCATTGTAGAAGCACATGTATCATAATGGATAGACTGAGGACAAAGGAACAAGTCACCAGTATGGCCCATGGTGTCGCTGCAGCTGATTTTTTTTTTTTTTCTCTAATAATGACTTGCCAAGCCTTGTTCTGCTCTTTGTGGAGGTGGCTATCTTGGTAGAGGCAGGATTTGCTTCCACAACTCAGAGCTTGCCCCCTGATGACTGGTGCTATGTTAACTGATGGAGTAATAAGTAGCAGTGGGAAAGCTTTGGAATGCAAAAAACCCCAAATGAATGAAGCAAAAGCAGGGAGGTCATTGCAGTGCAGGTCCTCAGGTACAGCTTCCTCTCCAGCAAGAAGAACAGTGAGCAGCACAGTAATGACACCACTTCGAATCTGGTGAGACTAGCAGTCAGAAGCAATAGAAGATGATCTTACACCGTAGATAAGACTCTATAGAGAACAAGAATGAACAAGCCTAGGAAGATTACAGGAGAAATCAAAAACAAAATATAAATCGTTCAGACTACTGCATAGTCACAAATAGCATTTCCTAGATGTACACAATAACATAGAAAATCTTCACTTTCTGAGTTTCAGACCACTTTTAACTGTAGGCAGTATATGAAGAGTGGGATCTAATGGCTCTCTTAAGACCAGCTTCAGACTATATGTATTCTTTTGGATAGAGTAGGGTCTGTTGCTTTGACCCTGTTGGCCAGAAGAGACTAAAGCCTGGTACTGAAATTCCAAAAACCAACTGACGCTCGGTACATGTGTACTGCTGTCTGTTCAACAGAAGCCGGTCTTCTCTATCTGTCTAATTATCTGTCGAATGGTTTTGCTGGAAAACAAGTATTTGATCAGCACTTGCAGCCAATGGCTGCAGGCGCTGATCTGTGTATTCTGACCAGGGTGTCAGGACACAATAGCACAGTAGGAGAGATCCCTGCATCACACATTGTTGGTGCGAGGGACCAGGGGCAGGCTGACAACTCATGGGGCCCCTGGGCAATAGGGGATCAAGCCTATGAAAAAGGTACCAGGGGCATCTCATGGGGCCTCCTACTCACCTCGGGCAGTGCCCGAGTTTCCAAATGGTCATTCCGCCCCTGCGAGGGACTATCATTTTTCTCTTTCCGTGCAACCGGATGGTTGAACAAAAAAAAAAAACTGCTTGTGTATACCCAGCTCAATATTCGACTGCAATGTTGGAAGCAGACTGTAGATCTGACTTTAAAGCAGAATGCCGTGTTTTTTTTTTTTTTTTTTTAATATTCCCATGCGGTGGGGCTGTGCCTGCACTGCATGGGTTAACTGCTCATTTTGTCCAGAGGCGCACAGAAAGGCTATACTTACCCGATCCTTCGAACCTCCAGAAAACGGCGCTCCCCCATGTCCAGCGGTGAACTGTTCCTGCTGTCCTCATGTCCAGAGCTGGTCTATGGACGTGATGACGTCAGGAACAGTCCATGCACAAGACCGCTAACATGCAGGAGAAGTGTGATGGGGGGGCAGGAGCGGCAGGGACTCATCCGAGTATCGTCGGATTATGAAAGTATATCTCCGCTCTCCTCACCCCTAGACAAAAAGAGCAGTAAACCCATGCAGTGCAGGCACAGCCCCACTGCATGGGGAAAAAAAAAAACAATTCCAGGAATTCTTTAAAGCAACGTTAAACCTTTTTTATTTTAATAAAAAAACAAAATTAAACATGTCATACTTATTTGCTCTGTGCAATGGTATTGCACAGAGCCGCCTGGATCCTCCTCTTCTGGGAACCCCCACTGGCACACCAGGCTCCTTCGCTTCAGCAGGTGCCCCCATGGAAAGCTGCTTTCCATGGGGGCACCCCTGCGGGCTGGCTCTGGGCCCATTGACACACAAAGTGCAGCTCGGTCTTGCCCCTTGCTGGCTTGGCACAGCATTTAATTGACCGCTGTTAATCTGCCCAGGGAGGAGGGAGACATCGTTGACTCCCGCTGCTCTCATGCACATCGCTGGATCGGATGGGGCTCAGGTAAGTATAAGGGGGTGCTGGGGGGGCATCCTGCAACAGCAAAGGTTTTTCAACTTAATACATAGAGTGCATTAAGGTGAAAAACCTTAAGACTTTAGAAGCACTTTAAAGGTGGGAATGTCTAGATTTGATTTTGATGTTGGAAAGAGAATGAAGATCTGACCATGATGTCTGGAAGTAACTGAAACTTTACTGTAGCATGCAGGTACCACCGCACACTGCGTTCCACTCTTCAGCTCAGATCCCAGCCCATTGGTCGCTCCTCTCTGACATGTTTCACCCACATTGGTCTTAATTATTAAGGTTCGCGCAATGTGGGTGAAACATGTCAGACCTTAGATTGTACACACCCCTTGAGGGTTAGGGACTGATGTGAATGTACAATATATATGTAAAGTGCTGCATAAATTGACAGCAATATATAAGTACCTGAAATAAATAAAAATAGAGGGGCACGACTATTGGGCTGGGATCTGAGCTGAAGCCAGTCCTACCATGGAATAGAACACTGTGTGCGGCGTTACCTGCATGCTATATTATATTTCGGTGTGAGATGTGCTCAATATCTGCCGGCACCTGAATACCGGCTTAGAGCGGCGCCGATCGGTTCCGGTATTTGAACCTGAACTGTGGTGTAAGAAGGAAACCGTAGTTCTTACTGGTTGCCCACGGTACACTGACTTGATGTGTGGAGTAGACAAGGTTCCACCATGATGTTGGGACAAGACTAGATTGGCCTTCTAATATCATGGTTCTCAGTCCATCCTTACATAATATCTAAAGTTTACCACTGAGCGGTTACGTTGGACCTTCTTGTGTTTCTCCATCTTGACTTTTGTCCGTTTGCCTATCGTCTAATCTTACCTTTCTCCCTTTTGCAAGCTGACATGGATTGCTCTGAAGGTAAACGGTCTCTCACATGTCCTCATCCCACCTTCCATTCAGCAGAGGTGTCCTCCCATTATCTGAATAAACCCTTGTTACTATGTCCAAGATAAATTATAACACTGTCCAAGTGTAAAACTAAGTCAGGGGTCTCCAAACTTTCCAAACAAAGGGCCACTTTACTGTCCTTCAGACTGTTGGGGGGGCCAGACTGTAGTCCTTTTTTTTTTTTTTTGGAGTTAAAAAAAAAAAAAGGCCCTGACGTTAGAGGGGAAAAAACATTGACACATTGGAGTCATTTGGAGGAATTGTGCCTCATCTTTGGTGTATTTGGGAGGAATTGCACCCCATCATTGGTTTCATAGGGCCCCGTTGTTGGTGTAATTGGGAAAAATGATGTCCCGTCATTGTTAGGAATTGTGCCCCATCATTGGTGTCAGAGGGGGTAATTATGCCCCATTGTTGGTATCATTGGATGAAATATTGCCCCAAGGGCTGGATAAAAACAAGTAAAGGGCCCCAGTTTGGAGACCACTGGTTTAAGACAATGAATTATGATTGGTATTACTGCTGAAGGTGCATGAAAACAGGAGTGCCACACCAGTGGTTTTAGAGCCCAACATGTTTAAAGTGGTTGTAAACCCTTCACTGGAAGTGACTGACCTCAGGTGATGCACAGAGATGAAACAAATCCTCCTACATAAGTTGTACCTGTTGATCTTGAGTCTTCTCTACATATGCTCAAAGTCCTTTATGAAGCTTGTTTTAGCTGTCAGAAGAAAAAGGGGGCGGAGAGCTGAAGTTGCACTCTTTAAAGCTCAGTGAGGAGAGCTTATTGGAGGGAAGGAATACACCCCGTGCACACAGGAACAGAGCTGAGGCTGTCAATTACATGCTCTGTGCTGGAGCTCCCTCCCCTGTCACCATTTTTCTCTTGGTGTCAGGAAAACTTGTCAGAAGTGACAAAAAGATAGCAGAGGAACAAGGCAGCAGACAGAAATGACACCTGGTGCTCTGGATTGATACAAGTGCACACTATAGAGGGATATTCTTTGTTCATAGTTCATGTCTGAGGTTTACGACCCCTTTAAATTATCATAGAAAACCCAGTGTTTCAAGAGCTATAAAATGCCCCCCAACCTCCCAACCCACCGTAATCATGGGCTCAAACTGCTGTTTAAGATGGAATGGTGGATTTATGAAAAGATCTCCTTGCTAATAGCCAGGCTTCATGTTACGGCTGTCTGGATTTCTGTAATAAAATAAGTAAAGCCATTATTGGGTAAAATCTAGGGGTAGAGGAAAACTGGAGCATCCCAAGGTGCCTGTAGGGCCCATATTACTTGAGATTATTATTATTATACAGGATTTATATGGCCCCAACAGTTTGCTCAGCGCTTTACAATATAACGGGAGACAATACAGCAACTATACAGTTCAATACAAGAGGGATAGGAAGGCCCTGATCCTGGGAGCTTACAATCTAGGAGGGAGGGGCTAGTGGTACAAAAGGTAGTAACTGTGGGGGATGGAGTGGTAGGAGGAATAGAAGATTCCATTATTAGCTGAAGGCAGGATAGGCTTCCCTGAAGAGATCGGTTTCCAGAGATCACCTAAAAGTGGGCAGAGTAGGCGATAGTCTGATAGATTGGGGTAGAGACTTCCAGAGGTTGGGGGAGGCTCTGGAGAAGTCCTGGAGATGAGCATGGGAGGAGGAGAAAAGGGAGCTAGAGAGCAGGATTTCTCTCTACACACTGGACCCTGACACCTCTTCGCCCACTTTTTCATGATGCTCACTGCTGGCATCCTACTAGACAAATCGTCAGACTTGCTGTCCACTTTTAGGGCCCATTAAGATGTCCACGGGGTTTTGCATGGTGTTAGCAAACATACATTAACGCATATCATTTGGAGGCGGCCTGTTCGTTTGAGCTGCCAGCTTACCACAGCGCTGCAAAAATGTGACCTGAACAATTTTACCAGACCGTGCCTTGTGGTGTGCTGCAATGCAGTTGTGGTAAAGGTACACCAGATCAGTGCTTTGGGGTGTGCTGCAATGCAGTTGTGGTAAAGGTACACCAGATCAGTGCTTTGGGGTGTGCTGCAATGCAGTTGTGGTAAAGGTACACCAGATCAATGCTTTGGGGTGTGCTGCAATGCAGTTGTGGTAAAGGTACACCAGATCAATGCTTTGGGGTGTGCTGCAATGCAGTTGTGGTAAAGGTACACCAGATCAGTACTTTGGGGTGTGCTGCAATGCAGTTGTGGTAAAGGTACACCAGATCAGTGCTTTGGGGTGTGCTGCAATGCAGTTGTGGTAAAGGTACACCAGATCAGTGCTTTGGGGTGTGCTGCAATGCAGTTGTGGTAAAGGTACACCAGATCAGTGCTTTGGGGTGTCATTGGCAATGAGCCCCGCGGTGCACAGGCAGCTGCATATTGGGGTCTCACGCAGCGAAATGCTCTCTTGGGATTTATTTAACTGAGTAAATCTGAGAAGTTCATTGTTGGGTGTCACACAAATCCCTTCATCCATTGTCTCTAAACACGGTGCTGATGATGACCTGCGACTATTCATCCTTGCATCGCTTTTTAGTAATAGAAGACCTAGAAGCAGACTTTTATTTATTTTTATTTTTTTGGTTGCTCGTTTTTTGTTTTTTTTTTGTTTTTGTTTTTTGGAGAATGATTTTGTGGCGTTTGCTCTGATTAGAGGGTCGTAGAGATCTGCTGAGGCTTAATGCAAATTTTGCACTTTTTTTTTTTTTTTTTTTACCATCTCACTTTTTCCTCGCACAGTACGCACTGTACAAGAAAATGACGCAAGCGGCCATCTTGATCCAGTCCAAGTTCCGCAGTTACTACGAGCAGAAGCGTTTCCAGCAGAGTCGCAGAGCAGCCGTGTTGATCCAGCAGTGTTACAGGAGCTACAGAGAAGGAGCCCGCGGGGGACCGGCCTTGCAATCGCATCAAGTGAGTTCTGACAGAGTACGCAGACATCTTGTTCCGATCATCACGTTCTGCGTCCAGCGCTGAGACGTGTTTTTGTCTTTTCACAGGGGGTCATTCCTGACGAAGAAGCAGGACCAGGCTGCCAGGAAGATCATGCGATTTCTGCGACGTTGCAGCCACAGGTAACATGACACAGCCAACACTGCTTCTATAAGAGGAGGGATGTACATGACAGTTGATGAATGATTACAGATGATTGACAGATGATCAGTTCTAAGAATCTGTGCAATCCTTGTCATCATTGTCCTTGTTTTCTCATTTAAGTTGTAAATGAAAGGTTGCTATAGTGAAAAATGAATGAAAAATGAATATAAAAAGACCTTGCCTAACCCCTCCAGAGGATTTCCTCCCCCCCCCCCCCCCCCCCCCCCCCCCCCCTGACCAGGCCATTTTTTGGGTTACAGCGCTGCGTTACTTTAACAGGCAATTGTGCAGTCATGCAACTCTGCACCCAAATGAAATTTACGTCCTTTTTTTTTTTTTTTTTTTCCCCACGAATTTAGCTTTCTTTCAGTGGTATGTGATCTCCTCTGTGTTTTACTTTTTGCGCTATAAAAAAATAAAAGACCGACAATTTTGAGAAAAAGACAATATTTTTAAACATGTCCAGTAAAAAAAATTTAAAAAATCAAATTTCGTCATGAATTTAGGCCAAAATGTATTCTGCGACATGTCTTTTGCTAAAAAAAAATATAAAAAATCCCAGTACGTGTAAATTAATTGGTTACATGAAAGTTATAGCGTTTACAAATGGCGGTATGTACTGTATACTGGGATTTTTATTTTTACTAGTAATGGCAGCCATCAGCGACTTATAACGGGGACTGAGTGTCACGGACATCCCCAGTGACACCGATACAGTGATCAGTTCTAAAATTAATGCACTGACACTGTACTGATGGCACTTGGCAGGAAGGGGTTAACAGGAGGGGTGATCAAAGGGTTAACTGTGTGCTGGGTGTGTTTTACTGGGGGGTGGTGTCCGTGTGCTTCACTGTAAGCACACTGGTTTGGATGGCTGTGCTGTGCATAGCCATCCAAAGCAGTGTGCACAAGCCGACAGGGAGAACTGTTTTGTTTACAAACAGTTCTCCCCATCGGAGATCCTTGGCAGTCAACGGGCACCGATGAGTAATCACCGACTGGGACCCGGAGATTATTATTATTATACAGTATTTATATAGCGCCAAAAGGGTTTGCTCAGCGCTGTACAATAGCAAGGGGGACAGAACATGAGACAATACAGTAACAATACAATACTCGAGGGGTTTGAGGGCCCTGCTCTTTCGAGCTTACAATCTAGGAGGGAGGGGAAGGTGGTACAGGAGGAAGTGGCTGTGGGGGATGGAGTGGTGGGAGGAGTGGAGGAGATGAGTTGTTAGGTGAGGGTGAGGTAGGCTTCCCTGAAGAGATGGGTTTTCAGGGTGTGCCTGAAGGTGAGGAGGGTAGGTGACAGTCTGATGGATTTGGGTAGGGAGTTCCAGAGGATGGGGGAAGTCCTGGAGTCGCGCGTGGGAGGAGGAGACCAGGTAGCTAGAGAGTAGGAGGTCTTATGAGGAGCGAAGGGTACAGGTAGGGTAGTATTTGGGTATCAGGTCGGTGAGGTAGTTTGGGGAGGCGTTGTGAATGGCTTTGTAGGTCAGAGTTAGTAATTTGAATTTGATGCGCGGAGGGATTGGCAGAGGGGGGAGGCAGATGTGGAGCGGTTGGTGAGGTGGATGAGTCTGGCCACTGAGTTCAGGATAGACTGGAGCGGGGATAGCATGTGTTTGGGTAGGCCGGTGAGAAGGGAGTTGCAGTAGTCCAGGCGTGAGATAATGAGGGAGTGTACGAGTTGTTTGGTGGTGTCTGGGGTGAGGAATGTACATATCTTGGAGATGTTGCGGAGGTGGAGCCTGCATGACTTTGACAGTGACTGGACATGAGGTTGGAAGGAAAGGTTTGAGTCCAGGGTGACACCCAGGACTTTGGCGTGTTGTGTGGGATTGATGGTGGTGGTGTTAGTCGTGATGGAGAGGATGGGGGGGGCGGGCTGGGGAGAAGACCAGGAGCTCGGTTTTGGAAAGGTTTAACTTGAGGAAATGGAGCGACATCCAGTCTGGTATGTCTTTCAGGAGGTGGGCGATACGGGCGGAGAGTGAGGTGGGGGGTGGAGAGGTAAATTTGTGTGTCGTCGGCATAGAGGTGATAGTTGAAGCCGTGAGAGTGTATCAGTTTGCCAAGGGAGGAGGTGTAGATGGAGAAGAGGAGGGGTCCAAGGACAGAGCCTTGGGGGACTCCGACAGAGAGGGGGAGTGTTATAGGTGACGCTGAAGGAGCTTTGGGAAAGGTAGGAGGAGAACCAGGAGAGAGCAGAGTCCCTGATGTCAAGGGAGTGCAGTTTGGTAAGAAGGAGGGGGTGGTCGACTGTCGAAGGCCGCGGAGAGGTCGAGGAGTAAGAGGACAGAGTAGTGGCCATTAGCTTTGGTGGTTAGCAGGTCGTTAGTGATTTAAGTAGGGCGGTTTCAGTGGAGTGTAGGGGACGGAAGCCAGACTGTAGTGGATCAAGGAGATTGTTGTCAGTGAGGTGGGCGGTTAGGCGATTGTAGACTAAGCGCTCAAGGAGCTTGGAAGTGAGTGGTAACAGGGAGATGGGTCTAAGGTTGTTTAGGTCAGTGGGGTCAAGGGAGGGTTTTTTGAGTGTGGGAGTGATGTGTGCGTGCTTTAGGGGGGAGGGGAATGTGCCAGTAGAGAGGGAGAGATTGAAGATGTGGGTGAGGGAACGAATGATGGAGGAGGGGGGGTGACTGGAGGAGTTGTGAAGGGGATAGGGTCCAGGGGGCAAGTGGTGAGGCGGGCTTCAGTGAAGACCTTAGTGACCTCCTCAGTGGTAGCTGGGCTGAAGGAGTGGAGCGTTGGGGAGGTGATAGTGTGGGGGGCAGTGTGGTTACGAGGTCAGAGGAGGGGGGGATTGAGGGGGTGATGGAGGGAGGGGGGCTAGGTGGAGAGGTAGATTGTGAGTTGACAATGTCCTTACGATAGCTACGAATGGCGGCGCGGGTAGGGCATGCGCATGTCTCGCGCACCCCCCCCACCTGGAAATGCAAAATCACGTGATTTTGCGCACCTGTGCTGCCCTGTAGCAGTATTTCTTCTGCTTGAGTCGCTGCATGTCAAGATCAGGTACTCCACTAAAAAAAAAAAATCAAATCAATGTGAAATATGAGAAAGGAGGGGGTAGGAGGAAGAGAAGTGGAACTTTTGGGTAAAGTTCTGCTTTAATCACTTCCCGTCCGGACCGTGTATATAAACGGCCGGACGGGAGGAGTGCAGGAGCCGGTGGCTGTTTATAAATGTCCTCCCTGCCTGTGTGCGCACAGCACCGCGATCCGGTTCCCTCTGTGTCCTCCGGCGACAGCGGAACACCAATCGTTGTACGGGACCTCTGTGTTTGATCCCGATCAATTGATCACTGATTGGCCAATCAGTGATCACATGCAGAGTAGTAAGCAAGATGTCACTTCTGACATCATTGCTTACTACATGTGAAATCTGTGAATGATCACAGAGGTCACATGGTACAGGGCTATTCACAACAGCCTTGTACCATGTGACAAGCTATGACCAATCACAACTCACACAGTATTTCTCAATGGCTGCAAGACTGCAGCCAGAGAAGGAGAAATGATTGCTTTTACAGCCTTTGAGTGTAAAAAAAAATAAATAAATTTTCATCACCCCCCACAAGTAGTACCATGGTGACACTGTACTGCTAGGGTGACCGTATGTAAAAAAACAAAAAACCCATGAATAATAATCTAAAAAAAATAAAAATGTAAAAAAATTTTTGAAAAATTATAATTGTTGGTTATAAATTAATTTGGGTTTTTTTTTTTTACTAAAAAGATAACTGAATACATTTTGGCCAAGATTTATGAAGAAAGATTATTTATTTGCAAAATTTTATAAGAAAAACACTTTTTAAATTTTTTAGACTTTTTTTTCATTTATGTAGCAAAAAAAATAAAAATCCCAGTGGTGAATAAATACCACCAAAATAAAGTTTTATCTGTCTAAAAAAAAATGCTAAAAAAATGGATATGGGTACAGTGTTGCATGACCGCGCAATTGTCATTCAAAGTGTGATAGCGCTGAAAGCTGAAAATTGGCCTGGACAGGAAGGGGGGGGAAAGTGTCCAGACTGGAAGGGGGGGAAGTGTCCGGACTGGAAGGGGGGGAAAGTGTCCGGACTGGAAGGGGGGGAAAGTGTCCGGACTGGAAGGGGGTGAAAGTGTTCGGACTGGAAGGGGGGGAAAGTGTCCGGACTGGAAGGGGGGGAAAGTGTTCGGACTGGAAGGGGGGGAAAGTGTCCGGACTGGAAGGGGGTGAAAGTGTCCGGACTGGAAGGGGGGGAAAGTGTCCGGACTGGAAGGGGGGGAAAGTGTCCGGACTGGAAGGGGATGAAAGTGTCCGGACTGGAAGGGGGGGAAAGTGTTCGGACTGGGAAGGGGGGGAAAGTGTCCGGACTGGAAGGGGGGGGAAAGTGTCCGGACTGGAAGGGGGGGGAAAGTGTCCGGACTGGAAGGGGGGGAAAGCGTCCGGACTGGAAGGGGGGGAAAGCGTCCGGACTGGAAAGCGTTAAGGGTCCCATGCCAGGTGAGGTGACGGTGTCTTTGGAATAGGTATCCTCTGACCAGCTTATGCACCCTTCACCTGCAGCTCTTTCCTCCTCCACAGTCGGTGAGAACACCCAACACGTTTATGTATGAAGTAGGATGTTACTTGCTCCCGGTATTTCCTGAGCTTTGCAGCAATTGGTTCACATGAATAGGGGAGCAATGGGCCACAGATATGGCTGTTCTTAGCACAATCTGCAGAGGCGCGAAGGTGAGGTGAGTATATGGAGGTCAGGGCATTTCCACAGACACTGTCACTTGGCCCTGCAGTTGTGTCTCTTTAAAGTGAGCCTCTGATTTGCCCATGCAGAGTTTGCGGTTTAAGGTGGCCCTGTCACATTAACCCCCCTGGCGGTATTCCCGAGTGTAGCTCGGGGTAAAGTTTCAGCACCACAAGTGGTAAACCTGAGCTACACTCGGGAATACACTGCAGCGTTGCTCCGGGATCTCTTCTTCACTTACCTTGT